ACCTGTCCGTCCTCCATGGACTGACCTATCCCCTCCCTAACTCCCCACCTACACTCACCTTTACTGGCTCCAACCCTGCATCCTTGACCTGTCTGTCTCCTCTCCACCTATCTCCTCCTTTATCCATCTTCTATCCGCCTCCCCCTTTCTCCCTATTTATTTCAGGATCCCATTCCCCTCCCCCATTTCTGAAGAAGGGTCTAGACCCGAAACGTCAGCTTTCCTGCTCCTCTGATGCTGCTTGGCCTGCTGTGTTCATCCAGCTCTACACCTTGTTGTCTCAGCTCTCCTGTTAACCAATATTGTTAACAGTTCTCTCTCTACACACGTTGTCCATCTATCCTTTAAACCTGCAGTCATCATATTTCCCCTCAAAAAAAAAACTCTTGGCCTTACTATCCTTGCAAATTACTGTCCCATCCCTAAGCTTCCTTTCCTTTTCAGAGTTCCTAAATGGTTTGTTAGCTCCCAACCCGATTCCCATCTTTTCCTGAGCTCCATGTTTGAATCACTCCAATCAGGTTTCTGCCTCTGCCAGAAATGGTTCTCAAAGTCACAATGGTATCCTATATGAGTGTAACAAAGTCTCCCTCATCCTTCCTGACCTGTTTGACACAGTTGACCATATCATCCTCACCCAGCACCTCTCCATGGTTATCCAGCTGGGATGGGGCTGCTCTCACTGATTGCAACCAGAGAGTCACTTGGAATGGCCTCTCTTCCCACTCTTGTTACCAATGGTGTCCTTCAAGGAACTATATTCAATCTCTTTATATAAAATATTCTGAAAGGGTTGGACAGACTGGATGTAGCGATGATGATGTTTCTCCTGGCTGAGGAGTAGGGGTGGGGTTGGGGGTGGGGCTGGAGTGTGGGAAAGAGTCCACGGAAAGTGGTCACAGTCTCAGGAAATGCGTCAGACCATTTCAGGCTGAGATGAAGAAAAATGTCTTCGTTCAGAGGGTGGTGAATCTGTGGAATTCTCAACACCAGAAGCCATGATCATGTTCAATGGCAGAGTGGGCTTGATGGCTTGCTGCCCTATAGTAACATCTTCTGAAGACACAATGATAGTTTTCACATGTACACTGATGACAGCCAGCTCTATTTCACTGCCACTTCTCTGGACTCCTTCACGTATTGCTAAATGATCAGGTTGCTCATCCGACATCCGTACTACATGAGCACAAACTATCTCCAATTAAATTTCACAAAGACTGAAGTCATTATTCTCAGTCCTTTTTCCAAGCTCCATTTTCCTTTCTGCCAAGTATATCTCTTCACCTGGCAACTGTCTGAGGTGAAGTCAGTCTGCTAACAAACTTGGCACCACATTTGTTCCCGAGACAAGATTCCAACCTCATTCTCATGATCACTAAGATGGCTTGTTCCACTTTAGTAACATCACTTGACATCTCCCATCTCAGCTCATTGGCTGCTGAAACCCTCACTCATGCCTTTTTTACATTAGTCATTTCAACATCTCAATATTCTCTCATCTCTTTAAAACTGGAAATTTTAAACATTGATGAAATAGTTTCTTGCCATATAATGCATACGGCCATCACTTTTTCATCTTGAAAATTGTCCAGAAAAGGCTTGAGCAATAGATGAACACTGTTTAACACTGCTACCATGCTGTAGCAACGTGAGTGGCGTTCACCACTAACAGGATGCTGCTGTCAAGCCAACAGGACATTCAATGTGTGGGGAGAGGTGGGGTGGGATTCTGAGTGGTTGACAGTGGGTAGCTCTGCTAGAAGCAACCCATGTTATGACAAGACTTGGGGTATGGGAGGCAAGTAAAAAACATGGAAGGAGGTATCCATGCCCTAAAGTTATCAAAATTGATGCTGAATTCTAAAGTCTACAAAGATTCCCAAGCAGAGGATGAGATGTTGTTCTTCCAGAATAATTTTAGAACCTGAATTAGAATTATGCTAAAAACCAACTTAGTATTCTGAGCTGAGTCTCAAAATGACTTTAAGCTACATATATTAATATTCTGTATTACTGTATTCTTTGTAGACAGATAAAATATACATGCACTGTGCCTGTTTTAATTCAACAATGTCAATTTGCCAGTTTTAAAACTTAAATTGTCATCTTACCAGTTCATTCTCCATGGAAAAGCCTCTGGCAAGGTTCACTTGCCAACCAGTCAACATTCACTTCTCATACAGTATAAATGTTTTTTTTTTCCTTAATTTGGTACTTTTGTGAATTGTCCTGATGAGTGCAAGATGAAAAACTTTCAATATAGCTCACAACAAAGGCCAAGCAAACCATCTGTCTCCTGATCACTTGCTGCACCTGCATGTTAACTTTTGCTCAGGTCTGTCTGTGAAAACATTCAGCTTCGAAAAGCAAGTTGTCATGACCTTGCGGATATGACAGAAATGACTTCCACGATCAGTCTCTCCATGCAGTCACATAGCTTCCTACCTTGAACAGCTGGTAAGCATATTCATCTTCAGTTTCAATGTTGATCATCTTCAGCAGATTTTTAACCTCTTTGAAGCTCATTTTGTTGTCCTTGTTTTTGTCAGCCTTCCGGAGGTATTCATGGATCCAGATAGATTCATGTAAAGGAGATCACTCAAAAATGCAAGGGAGAGAGGGACAGAATGACAGAGACAGTCAGAGATGATATGGGTCACTGGATTAATAGCCTCACGACAATGCTACTAGGCCATCACCTCACTTTGGGGTCTGCTTTATAAAGGGCTCAGATGATGAATTGCCTCTGGGCAGGCCGTTGCCTGTTACCCAGGGAACTCATCCTTGTAGAGCTCCACAGGGAGATTAATTAGTGATTCCTCATGGACCTTGTCAGGAGTATCACAAATGGTTAATGGAATTTTGTCATTTATCGCTGAAGAAACGGAGCATATAAGTGGGGAAGTGTTGTTGCAACTTCACAAGACATCAGTGGGACAGCACCTGGAGTTTTCAGTTCTGGTTCCCTTATTTGAGGAGGGATTTACTTGTATTAGAGGCAGTTCAGAGAAGATTCACTAGATGGAATCCAGAGATGAAGGATTTGTCTTATGAAGAGACATAGAGCTATACCAGGATGTTACCAGGACTGGAGGGTTTGAGTTATAAGGAGAAGCTGGATAAACTGCGACTTCTTTCACTGGAGCATAGGAGGTTGGACGGTGACCTTATAGAAGTTTATAAAGTCATGAGGGGCATAATGAATAGCATAGGTCTTTTCCCTCAGGTGGGGGTGTTCAAAACTAGGGGGCATATTTTTAAGGTTAGAGGAGAAAGAAATAAAAAGGGACCTGAGGGGCAAGTTTGTATGTGGAATGAACTGCCAGAGTAAGTGGTAGATGCAGGTACAGTGACAATATTTAAAAGATATTAGGACAGGTACAAAAATAGGAAAGATTTGGAGGAGCATGGGCCAAACGCAGGCAAGTGGGACTAGTTTAGTTTGGGAAACTTGGTAGGCATGGATAAATTGGACTGAAGGGCCTGTTTCCATGCTGCATGACTCTATGACTGTTATGAGAGGAGATCTTATTCAGGTATACAAGCCACTAAAGTGAATTGATAAAACAGACATAATGTGGAGATGCCGGTGTTGGACTGGGGTGGACAAAGTCAAAAGTCACACAACACCAGCTTTCACAAATCACAAGCTTTCGGACCGCTGCTCCTTCAATCAGAACTATAATCTGGTGTCGTGTGAAAGCAGACAGAGAAAGAATGTTCTACCATGAGTAAACAATCTAGAATGACAGGTCGTGGTTTTTTGGATAAGTGGCGGCAGATTTAAAACAGACATGAAGAGAAATTACTTCCCTCAAGGGGTCATGAATCTGTGGAACACACACCCCAGACCGCAGTGGATGCTGTGACGGTGAGTAAATTTAAGGAGGACATAGATAGATTTTTAATTAGTAACAGGTTTAAGGGTTATGAGGAACGGACAGGAAAGTGGAGTTGAGGTCAACTGGAGATCAGCCATGTTGATATCAAATGGTGGAGCAGATTCAAGGGGCTGAATTGCCTAGTTCTGCTCCCAGTTCTTGTGTTCTTCATATTTGTTAAGCAAGATTTGCCTTTCAGAAAAGCATGCTGGCTTTATCCAATCCCGTTAATGCTTTCTACATATTATGTATCATATCTATTTTAATAGACTCCAGCAACTTCCCACGAATGGTGCGAGGATAACTCGTCTGTAATCCGTTTTCATAGAATCCCTACAGTGTGGAAACAGGCCCTTCGGCCCAACAAGTCCACACCAAACCTCAGAGCATCCCACCCAGACCCATCCCCCTATAATTCACCTAATCTACACCTCCCTAAACACTACAGGCAATTTAGCATGGCCAATCCACCTAGCCTGCACATCTTTTGGACTGTGGGAGGAAACCCACACATACACGGGGAGAATGTGCAAACTCCACACAGACAGTTGCCCGAGGCTGGAATCGAACTGCTGTGAGGCAGCAGTGCTAACCACTGTGCCACCCCCATTCTCTCATTCTTTATTTAAAGAAAAAGTGGAGTTATATTTGCCACTCTCCAAGCTGTAGGATCTGCTCCAGATTTTATAGAATTCTGGAAGATGACCACCATACACCCATTATTCCAAGGCCACTTCCTTTAGTAGCCTGGGATGTAGATTATCAGGCCTTGGAGAACTGTCAGCTTTAAACTGTGTTAATTTCCTCAACACTATTGTCTCACTAATATTGATTTCCTTCAATTCTGCCTTCACACTAGGCCTTTGATTTCCTGACATTTCTGGGACGTTCGTTTGTGAAAACAGAATCAAAGTTTTCCGGCAATGTTGTGGGGGCATTCAGATGATCACTGCTCATGGTCTTTCAGCAATGTGGTCTTATTAAAAGACCCACTGCTCACCTGACCACAGAACGCAGTTTAGAAAGGATATTGGTGAATTTTCTCTCGTTGGCTCATGGCTTCTGCTTTCTTTCTTAGCTTTTTAAAGCCTTGAACCCATCGTCTCCCTTCTTCCTCCGACTCTGCTACCAGGTCCAGGTCTGTACGGTTGCCTGCGAACACGATGGTGAAGCACCGTTTCTCCGAGAAGCTGCTTCCATGTTTCTTCATCACTTCGGAGCGATGGCCCTCTTGGATGTCCCGGATATCCATCACCGAGACTGAAATAACAGACAAGAAATTAGCATCGGACAAAGATCTGAAAAATCATCCAGGACAAGATGCATCTTCATGGACTTGCCAGAAATCTGGACTATTTCAGTAACCAAGGAAACCCCGCTAACACACAGCACAATCAATATTAATCCCTGTATAAAACAATGTAAAATGAAAGTCTCTTTAGTATCTTGTATGTTTCAATAAGATCACCTCTGTTGAGGTATTCATTATTTTAATTTTGCTCATTTTTAGTTGAAGCTGAAGTTCAGAATCCAAATTTGAGCAGTAGCTTTGGAAATGAGGAGACAGCAATCAAACCGATATTTATGTGACCTAGCATTGAAAGATAATTGTAGATTATTTGTTGTCCTAAGAACACTATAGACATTTTAGTACTGAGATGTTCTTGGTTCAGGACTGGCAATTGGTTGGACATTGAACTGATCAATTAAGGGCAGATCGATACGGACTAATCACAGAGAAGGTTAGTAATAGAGAGGGGAAAAGAAAGTGAACCAGTTCTGACTGAGGTTTTGAAGCCAAGAGTCTGTTTTAAAACACTACTGGACAATGCTGCCTGTGCTTGGCTCTCTCTTGCTTTGGTTTTCACTGCAGTTGTCAGTTTGATTGTTCTGATAAGAAAGCAGCCCTCTGTAAGAAGTGGCGGAATAATCCTGGAGAGTTACTGGACCTGTTTGTACAATTCAGTGACCTCGGAATTCAAGCAAGACATACAGTTTACTTGCCTATGAACAACTCCATTTACCAAGGGTTTCTGAGGACATGGTACCCATTGTGAAACCTCTAAAGTGGCAAATTACAATTCTTTGATTTTTCTTTTAATTTATTCCTTAAAGCTGTTTGTCTGTCTGTCTGTTAGTCAGTGAGAGAGGGGGTATCTGGTCACAGAAGAGTGGGTTTGAAACATAGACCTTAATTAGATTGCCTTGTTGTTTAGCTGTGCTGTTCTAAAGTTACAGATAATAAATTATTAACTACTGTTTAAGTTATAAACTTGAACATAAGCATTAGAATTTCCTCTACCTCTACCTTGAATGCCTCCCACTGGTCTGACACTGATTTTCTTGAAGATGGCTGTTTTCAGTCCAGATCCCAGTAGAATTTATGGACTTTGTGGGAAGAGATCTGATCTACTTGGGAATAGAATAGTACAAATTATTCTTTGGGTGCACTCCCAAGGCACAGCCAGTAATTCCCAAAACACCCTTCTCCGTGGCTCTCTTACATTGCTGTCCCTGGCCATTTGATCCCTTGAGCCTGCTCTGCATTTCATAAGATCGTTATTGACCTGTTTCTTTGGAATTCCACATTTTCAACTTCCCCTGATAACCATCTGTTCCCCTGCCTAACAAGAATCTATCCTGCTGTACCTTAAAAATATTCAAGGACTCTGCCTTCGCCACCTTTTGTGGCAGAGTTCCAAACCACAAAACTCTCAGAAAAATAAAATTTCTCCTCATCTCTGCCTTTAAAAAATGATCCCTAGTGGTGTCTCTAGTTCTGGACTTATCTTACATGAGAAAATTTCCTTTCCACAGTCACCTTGTCAAGACTGTTCAGGACCTTAGTCAGAATCAGGATCCTATAACGATACTATCATCCCCTTCCTACTTCACCTAATATCTTCTAGTGACATCCTGCTTGGTGTATAATGCATAGAAAAATAGCATAAATTTGGCAGAAAGAAAATAGTCTCCAATCTGACTGGTGTAATAATAGCAGAAAGAGTTCAAGGGCTGACTGAAAGATGGAGACCATCATGGTTTAGCAACAGTTAAACACATGTTGATTTTGATTCCCGGCCTTACTAATAATTTTCACTATTCCCCCCTCCCCTTTCATCCACAAATTCATGAGTCCCACAACACACTGAAATGTTTGTGCCCCTTGAATACTGACTTCTACGCTCCTCCCTAATTTTAATCACTCGACCATTGGCTTTCATCTGCGAAGACATGAAGCTACTTGGACTTCAATGAGCTTCAGTAGGTAGAGACAGGCAATCAATACTCTAGGTCATCTCTTGGAACCAAGCAGAATCAATTGATGATGACCACTGCACATAACCTCCACATCACTGCCTGCGACCTCCATGCCACTGTGACCTTCCAGGTACCAATGTTTCCAAACTACAGGGGGTTAAGCAAGGAGATCTCAGAATTAATCCACAGCCTCATCTCCTCATGTCTTCCATCTATACACTGGATGCTTGCAGAGGATCAGGATGCAGACATTCCATCTTGGAAGTTTCTGCACTCTCACCAATTAAAATAATGAGTGGCCACACAGTATTTAATTGGCTGCAAAGTGCTACTGAATATCCTGAGGTTGCTAAAAGGAATCTTGTGGCACAGTGGTAGCATTCTTCCCTCTGAATCAAGAGGTCTGGGTTCAAGTTCCACCTGCTCCAAAGCTGTGCAATAACATTTCTGAACAAGTTGATCAGAAAATATCAATCCCGGAGGTTGTTGCAAATTCTTTCAAACCTTAAGTCTACAAAGCCAATTGCAGCTGAGAATTCTTTTCTCTCAGAACGTGATGAGTCCTGGAAATCTTGCTCACCAAGTGGTGGAAGCAAAGTCTGAATATTTTACATTCAAATTCTGATTATTATATAGGACAAAGGTAGATAGATTCTTGCTGAGCAAGGGTCTGAAAGGTTGTTTAGGGGTAAGGAGGGGATGTGGATCATGATCATATGGTCTTTTCCTGATCCTAACTCATACATGTTTTATGTGGCACAGTTACTCTGAAAACATGCATGGGCAGGAAATATTACACTTTGTGTTTTGTGTAGGGTGCAAGCTGTGCTGAGGACTCCTTAATACCACTGGCCATTTCCTTCTAAAATAATCAACTCCACCAGCACAGAACTCAGCTCAAATTCCTACAGAAATGCAAGCAAAAGACAAAGGGAAAAAGCATTTGCTGCAATTGCTTTTAAATTACACAGTCAATTGTGGTACTTCCTGTTTTTTGCAGCAAATCATGTAAAGAATGGAAATAAAGGTTGCATTGCCAACATCTGTTGCCTGAACAATGAACTCAGTTTCCATGAATGGCTCTGTATTAATATGTTTGTATGATTTGTTGTGTGCCATGATCATGAACCTCTCGAGAGACAGATGGCACTGATATAATTGCAGTAGGACTCCACTGTCTTCTTCATGCCGTCAACAGAATTGTTGGCATATATACAAAGCTGGTGTGGAGTGCACATTACAATGCATACTGGCATCATCTCCATTTCTACAAACCTATAACTTTCATTGCACCACATGGGGGTATAACATTGAGCAAGATTTTGACAAGATACAAGACGATATTAACAAACTTGCAACCTTGGCATACAATCAGTAATTGAATTCCAGCACCAGTAAAGTGTGAGGTGGTGCATTGAAAGGCTATGACAACTTGCATACTAAGACGGTATAAAATGAAAGAGGTACAAACAAATCACATCCACAAATCTTTAAAAGCACAAACATAGATTAAGCCTAAAGAAAATATAAATAAAGCATTTCAAGACGTATAAATTACATTATTGAAAAAGGTTATATTAATCATGTATCAAACCTTGATTAGGCCACACCAAAGAACAATGCACATTTCTGGTCTCCTTTTACAAAATAATGAAGATTTACAGGGACTGAGGCAAAAAGGAAAATCAAACAAGGATGACCTTAATATAAATCTTTAAAATGATGAACAGACTCACACTCATGTAAAAAAGTTACAAAACTCATCAGCCCAACCACACTGTCCCACATTTAACCAGAAATTTCAAAATTAAAGAAAAATAGTACACTTAATAGATTAAATTTGAGGAATTAAGTAACCAATTAAAATGAAAATGTCATACGAGTTAGGAATAAGAATAGACTAAACAGCCCATTGAGCCTGCTCCATTATTCAATAAGATCATGGCTGATCTGCTTTTAACTTCAAATCTATATTTTTGCACATCCTCGATAATCTTTTGAGGAGGGGAATTCCAAAGGCTCATATCCTCCTCTTTGTTTGAAATGGGTTCTCTCTTATTTTTAAATATGACCCCAGCTCTAGATTATCCCATAACAGGAAACATCCTTTCAACACCCACCCTGTCTTCTACGTTTCAATTCATTCACCTTTGATTCTTCTAAACTTCAGAGGATGCAGGCCTAGCCTGTCTAAGCCTTTTTCTAATGAGGCAATCCACTCATTTGAGGTATTAGTTCAATAAGCCTTCTCTGAATTGTTCTCAACGCATTAACGTCCTTCTATAAGTACTATTATTATTATATACCATCCTCCAGATGCAGCCTTACCCATGACCTGCATAGTAAAGTATAACCTCCTTATTCTTGCATTCAATTTCCCTTGCAATAAACCATAACATTCTATCAGCTTTTCCAATACTTGCCGTTCCTACATACTAACTCTCTGCAATTCCTGAACTAGGCCACCCAGGTCTCACTGCATCTCAGCTCTGCAACTTTCATCATTTAGATTATATGCTTTTTTTTTTTTAATTCTTTCTGAAAAATGGACAATTTCACATTTTTCCACATTATACTCCACTTGCTGGTTCTTGGTCCATTCACGTAACCTACCAATATCCCTTTGCACCTCCTAATGTCCGATTCATAAATTTCATAACAACTTTGTATCATCATACCATACCTTCAGTCCCTTCATCCATCATTTATATAAATTGTAAAGAGTTGAAGCCCCAGCACTGACCTCTGTGACAGACCACTTGTGACATCTGGCCAACCTAAAATAGACTCATTTGTTCCTACTGGTTGGCTAACAGGAAGCAGAGACATTTTTGATCCATTTCTATGGCTACCCGCTATTCCATGAGCTTTTATTTCCCACAATATATTCCTTTGACGTGTCATCTTTTCGAATGTATTAATTACTGGGGCCTATTGGGAATGCCCGAGTCTTGCTGCAAGGGGTTTATGAGAATACATTATTCGATGGTAAATTTCTT